AGTTTGTCAGTTTGCTGTTTGTTAGTTCCTAAGATTGTTCTGTGTAGTGTGTCCTTCTGGGTTTCTGTAGCTTAAGTTATTCTGGAGGGATGTCCTCACATTTTTCAGTTGCAGTTTGAACAGACATACGGCTGGTTCCCATCAGTTTTGCTTAAACCCAAGAACTGAGATGGATCCATGTTGGAGAACATTCTCATCACAGCAGAACCTACATGTGATTCTCACAACTGGGTGGAAAGTAACATTTAACAATCCATCCATTATCTATACACTGCTTAATCCTCATTAGGGTCGTGGGGGGCTGGAGCCTATCCCAGCTGACCCTCGGGGCAAAGGCAGGGGACACCCTGGACAGGTCGCCAGTCTATCACTTAGAGACAGACAACCAAGCACACTCACATTCACACCCACGGACAATTTAGAATTACCATTATCAGCATGTTTTTGGACTGTGTGGGAGGAAGCCAGAGAACCCGGAGAGAACCCACGCTGCACGGGAAGGACATGCAAACTCCATGCAGAAAGATCCCAGTCCCCCAACGGGACGTGAACCGGCGACCTTCTTGCTGCGAGGCAACAGTGCTACCAACTGCGCCACCTTGCAGCCTACATTTAGCACTGATGTATGTTTATTGGTTGCTTATAAAGTAAGTATGACAGATAGCTGGCAGCTGCAGTTGAAGTGGGGATGCAGTATGGTCTGCGGTTTTCAACACTATCAGTAGCTGTACAATAGGTTAGATGTATTTCCAATTGCAAGGAAATCTAGTTAGAGTGACAGTGACACTTGCAACAACACAAATAAGTAAAAATCCAACCAAAGCAGGTATCAACACTTAGCAGTATCTTTGTATGTTCACTCCATATGTTTAAATATGGAGTGAACATTCATACATACTCCATACAGTTTACTTTTTTTTAAAAACAAAAAATCTGGAATTACATATTTATTACTTCAGAACCAAAACAAACCTAATTTTGCCATTACAGTTAAAACGTCACCAGCTAGTTCAGACATTGATATGTGTAACAGCAGCTACAAGTAAGAATATGGAATGCAAAGGAATTGCTATATCTGCAATGAACTTGGCATCATCAGAATGAGTTCCATTTATATTTACTTCTATGTCCTCTAAACTTTACTCACTAACTAAAGAGAGAAGAATATATTAATAGTAAGCACTAATATCCTGTGGTCTTCTGTTAACATTTGAAGTGCACTCAGTGGCTAGCAGTACTTTTACTGACACTGTTTTATATAAAACCAATCTCTATGAAAGCCCTGTGCCTCCCACACACATGAACAGTTCTGACCTCCACTCATGCTGCATGGTGAAAGTGCTATCCTCACTTTTTTCTTGTTACAATATTTTCTATCTCCTTCACACATAGTCGCATACATGCTGTTGCATGACTGTATCACTTACTGCTTAACTGCTTATCCACATCTGCAGAAGTAAACATCTTTCACAGGTTTAGATCCATCTCCATCTCAAGTAACTATCAGGATATTTCTACTGTGTGTCTGTCCTAAATAATGGCATGGAATGACATGTGAACTTCAGGCTATTTGACGTGGTGGCCAGACGCTAGTACAAACAGCTTGCAGAGAACAGTGAGGTAATAGCTCCCCTTTTGAACTTTTTTTTTTTACTGTCAACTAAACACACACATCTACACTTTCACCCTTCACACAAACACACACACACACACACACACACACACACACACACACATACACACACACACACTTCTTATGCTGTTACTCAGGTTCATGTGTACACACATAAACCTCCTCCTCCCATATCAACATGACTTAGGCAGTCACTGATTATTTAAAAATAAAATCAAATTGCATATTAGATAATGTGTTAATTAATCAGTTACTTGCCAAATATTTAGTTAGGAATCTTTTTGTTTTGATACCTTCTGTTTTTGGAACAGAGAAAGTTGCAGCTTTTCCAGGTAAGGATTGACTGTTTTTCTAGTTTTGCCATTGCAAATTGAATATTTTTGTACAATACAGGGCTTGGAGAATACATTAATTTATTTATTTATTTATTTATTTACTTTTTGTGATTATCAGAATTGTCAACAAATTACCATTGAAAGAACCTGTGACATTATTTGCGTTAGCATTTTCATCTTTAATGGCAGATAAAACAGCCAAATGAAAGGTAGTCTTTAAATCCTTCATAGTACATGCTGGTGACACATGTCACGTGAAATAAAGGACCAGTGAGCCAAATGTATCATTAAACCAATAATAGCATGGTACAACTGTACACACTAGTGGTATTTTGTTCAGCTTTATCACATAAAGAAAGTGTAAAGGAGTATGTAATACTCTCCCAAAGCTGCTCATCTGCTCAAGTACTCAATCCCCTTTTGCTCTTCCCTGCAGGAAGGCTAATGTCAGACATTTAAGTAGGTAGTGTGACCTGTTCTGCAGCACATGGAGTTTATTTGCTGTGGTTTTAGCTGCAGCTTCCACCCTCAGCCCCCAGGGCCCAAATACGTCTGTGGTGCTCCAGCCCAAGGAACAGCAATCTGACAAGCAGTGCAGACCTAATCCAGGCCAGGTCTGGGGCTGTGTTTGGTATGCATCCCCTAGGTATGGAATAAATACAAGGCTGGTAAGCAGATCTGCTTGCCTGGACGACCGCAGGGAAGTGGAGAGCTTTCCAACCTTACGATACATGCCTGGGCGGGATGTCTCTTATCCATATATGTAACCTCATAACATCTTGGGCTTTTCACGAATAAGAACAGCTTTGATCTCCTGTGGAAAGTAATGCAGTTTTAATGTCCAACTTCAAGGGCCATTAGCTGCATTTTTATCAGTTAGCGAGGCTGCTTGGCAAATTTATGAATGTCAAGTCAGGGGGTGTTGCTAGCCTAAAGGTTGGAGAAGCTTGGTTTATGATTGGAGGGTTGTCAGGAATAGCTCATCGCTGGGAGAATGTGGGTGGGGAAAGTAGATGAGTAACACTCTTCCCTCCCTACAGCACTTACTTGACTTACCTTTGAGCAGCGTGCTGCACCCCCCCACCGGCTTCAGTGGGTAAAAGTAGAAAAATAAGATTATTCAAGTCGAAAGATACAACTGTGGTGCAGTAAATTGTTGAGAAGAGTGCCTCATTGATAATGTATGTGTAAATTCAGGCTTCCAAAAACAAAAGAAAATGGAGTGAAAGTTAGTTTTTCATTTTCTACTTTAAATGTGTCTCCACTTGGTGGCATCCCCCCAATCCCACCCTCCCTTTCTCTTTGAAGCACAGGTAGGGCAGACCAGGTGTACCTGTTTATACTTGCTGTGTAATTTATGGATTAGCAGATGCTTTTAATGGCTAAAAATCATCAGAACTTTACCTTTGCTACAGAAGCAAAAGAAGAGGGAAGAAATGAGAAGAAACAAGACACAGAGACAGAAAAAGTAAAAAGAAAGGACAATAGGTGAAAATCATCCAGTAGATTAATTTACCACACATTGTGAAGACACAGTATTTGTTGAATCTCTTGGCATTGGGCTTTGAAAGCCCTTTTCTCATTTGTTTTTGGCTTTTTACAGCAAGTAATCCTGAAGTGTGTCCATGTCAACATTCAACTTGTGGTTAGAAATAAGAAAGTTGGATTTATAGCTGAAAAAAGAAAAAAAAAATGATTGTTTAAGTCATTCTCAGTGTTTTGGACCTTTGGCCAGACAATCTGAAGGTCTCACATTTGGCTTTAGGAAACAGACCTTTTTACAGTTTATCATGGACCAAACAGTTATTGAAGATTGAAGAAAACCTAGTAATGAATGAAGAAAATAACCTGACATTAATCATGTGGGTTTTTTTTTCAAAGCTGCAAAATATCTGAGTTTAGCTTGAATGTTTCAGGGCAGAAGCGTATCGCTCAAAGTAATTAACTCTAAAATTATTGGACATATTGCAGTTGTCGAGGTTTTTAACCAACACATGGCCAACTCCACAATCACACCACTGTCGTGGGTTGTCCAGTAATGTGAACATTTACCATTGCTCTCTTCCATTCCATTCCATGAATATGACATGTAACACTTTTTGTCTTTTACTATAGATTTAATAGGAAGCAGAATGGGATGAATAAAGAACCGTTTGTATTTCCTGTACACTTTCTCTGTAGATTTATCAGAAGTTATTCACTGCCTGCCAAGCACATTCTTAATTTGTTGACATGGGTAATGTAAAGGCTTGTGTTTGTAATTTTTTATTTTAATTTTTTTAAACCTAATTTTAACTTAAACAGTACTTTTGTTTTCTTATCCAATGTGGCCCTCGGTGACAGCTTTTGATGCTTTAAAGTTTTCTATACCCTGTGCTATGGGCAAATAAGTATTGAGGTTTGACATCAATCCTCAGGTACACATACTCTTAGAGATAACACAGATTCAGTTTTTGTCATGTGTGAAGTCCCTCTCTTCCTGAGAAACACTCAACACAGACACTTACACATTCCTGACGGCACAAGGCATAACTTGTTATGGAGGCTGTTCACAGAGCTGTGTTAAGGTGAATCCAGACACACACACTGGGCTGTGTGCACCGAGAGGGGCAGCGTTGATTTAGGGCATTACTCAGAAGGAGAGAGAGAGGGGAAAAAAGGGCGAGTCTCCCCTGACTGCATTAGGAGAGCCTCCAGCCTTTGTGATTCCTTTTGATCAAATCTCTGTGAAAGATGAGTGTCATGCCCTCTTCCAGCCAGCTGTGAGGGGACTGCCCTGTGACTCTGAGGGGGTGGATGTGTGTGTCTGCGCGCGTGAAAGGGCATGTACACCTCTAAGCGTGCATGTGAGTGTGTGTGTGTGTGTGTGTGTGAGTGTGTGCAGGCTAGGGAGGGAGCAGGCAGCTCCTGAGGTGAGAATGCCGAGTGGGAGGATCTCATTCCAATCCCCTGTGCCCAGTTTCAACATACACACTCAGACACACATACTGAACATCTTGAGTAGTTTACAGCCAGTCCACGGCAACATTAGA